TGGCAAGACCTTCAGGGTGGGGAGCCCCAGAAACACCCTTCTCCAGGGATCTGAAAGGCTCACACCTCACTCCGCCCCCCACCCCACAGCATCCTATGGTGACCCCCTGAGCTAGGTCCTTGAGCAGTGCCAGCTCCTCTGCAGAATGGTTCTGAGCGCAGCAGGCCTCACCCCAAGAGAACACGCCTAGGAGTGGGGTTGCAGTGTGTAGGCTGGACGATCCTGGCCCCTTCCTGGGCTGCTTGAGCACCCTTGGGTTGCAGTGTGTAGGCTGGACGATCCTGGCCCCTTCCTGGGCTGCTTGAGCACCCTTGGTCCCCCTAGGGCCCTGCCCAACCCAGCACACAGGGAGGGCCCTGGGTGGGTACCCAGTAGAAGGTGGAAGGTGGGACACCACCCCTTCCACCCATTACTTTAACCCATGTCTGCCTCTTGTCACAAAGAATTAAATCCATAATCAGAACATGGAAGAGGCCCCTGCAATTTGGCCCATCAGCACCATGCCGGCCATTAGCCGGCTGCATGGGGGCATTAATCTCGTCATCTCTCTCTGGTCTCAATGAATTGTGATAAAAATGTCAAACAATTAGATTATATTGGCCAACAGCACCGGTGTGATTGAGTAGCAAGGCCGGGCACGTCCCTTGAATCACCCTGACAAAGGGAGACGGCTCCACGCCGTGATAAATCCCCCACAGAGCTGCTGGCAAGGGCTGCCAGGAGGTCAGCCCCAGGCGGGCCAGCGAGCCAGGTGTCCCATGGGAAACCTGCCACTCTCAGGCCCTCGGGAAGCTGAGGAGTGAGGCAGGCAGGTAGTCCCTGGGGACAAGACACTAAGACCAGGGGCCCAGGCCCCTCTGAGTCTGCAGAGCCACAAGCTTGACACAGAAGGGCAGGCGGGGTTCTCAGAGGGTGCAGTTTGAACCCCTGTCCCACTCTGCAACCACAGAGGGGAAGGAGGCCAGAGCTGGGGAGGGGTCCTGCAGTGGCCACTTTGCCAATGCTCAGCCTGGCCTGCCCTTCCCAGGAACCACGGCTGCCTTTTTTTTTTTTTTTAATAAGGGTGAAGATGCATTGAAAATTGATTTCTCTGTTAGAAATGGGATAATTAAAATGGTTGTTTCTATCTTCATCATCGTCATAATAAAATGAGGAGACAGTAGGGTTACGCATGGCGTGGAGAAGCACCGAGAGGCTTAATGCACAGCAGCGGTAATTGAATACAAATGGCCTCTCCTGAAGTTGCTGAGTTATATTTCAGAGATATGGGATAATGATGCCATTTAATCATTTTTACAAGATATAAAATTACTGGCTTCTCTAGGAAGATCATTAAGGAAAACAATTGTTCACAGCAATTGAAAATAGAGTTTTAATTATTTAATATAGAATTATTTAAACTATTAGAGATCAGTGTTGGATGAAGTAACTTAATAGAAATTTATACACAAGCATTTGTGAACATTTTAATTTTATTAACCCACCTGATTCCTTAATCCAAATCAATCTGGAAGGCCTCATTGAGCTGTGATTGGGAATTCACTGCTCAGAGCTGCTGGGGATGTGGACTTGCCCTCCAAGGTCAAGGGGTGGCCAGGCCTCGCATGGAGGCACAGATGGGTCATCTCACTTGGGAATTCCAGGAGAGGTTCTGGAAGAGATGTGGCCCGTGGGCCTCCTCTGAGCTGCAGAGGAGGAGGGGGGAGAGGAGAAGGAGCAGCGGGGAGGGACCCTGGGGACCATGGCATAGGGCAGGTACCTGGGCGATGCTGTCTCCCAGATGGAGGGAGGGGCCAGCTTAAGTTCTGGCACAGTGCATGGCCGGTGCTCTTCACCTGCCCGTCAACCCTTCCCAGGTGGGAGTTTTGGGGGCCCACCCTGCTTTGTACCCAGGGCCTCCAGCCCCCTGTGCTGGGACCTCTGTCTGTCCTGCCCACCCTCATGCCCAGAAACATCTCAAGGGTATATGGTGCCTCTTTACAAAGGGTTACAATGTGAAACTTGAATGAAAAGTCCTTTCCTGTTGAATGAAACTCTAGTTAGTCACTGTGGACGCAGGAAAAGCAGCTGCCTCCCAGCAGCCTGGGGTGTGGCCGCAAGGGCTGCTTGCTGCTCCTGTTCCTTTGGTTACTTTGTTGGTATTTAAAACATTTTCTTTAATAAGACATATTATTTAATTGCTTATTTCAAAGATAAAGAAAATTTCCAAGACATAAATTAAGAAAATAAGTGGACATCTTGGAGAGGTGGCTGATGGTAAGGATTGAGCTCCTCGGGCCAGGCGTGTCACTGCGGGTGGCCTGGGCACAGCGGGGTTCGTAGATGTGTGGGTTGGAGGCTGCCAGAGTCCTGGGGCCATAAGGAGCCCCTGACACCCAGTCTGCTGGGAAGACACACCTGGGGCCTCCAGCCTGGGCCCTGGAGTGAGTTGTTTAAAGTCAGGGTCTGGAATCCCAGGCTGGTCCCTCACTTGGGTACTGGTCAGTCGGACCCGAGGCCAGGAACGGCGGGATGGCACCTGCTGGACCCCTGTTCCTCAAGCCAGGCATCCTCACTGGCTTGCAGGTTCCCTGCCAGGCTGCCCTCCCACAGAGGGCAGTCCACCACGCAAATTATCACCAATAAATTCCAAGTGATCTTTTTTCTTCATATAGTTTTTAGGGTTACATAAATTTCACCTATGCAATTTTTTTATGCTTGAATATATTACAGAATGCCACTTCTGTTACGGAAGCTAATTGATAACGTGATTTGTTATGTTGCCGGGACATAATTCAGAAAGTTATTTTAAAGCCTTTGATGCATGGAACAGCACTCAGTGTTTAATATTTCTCACATGAGCAGACACAGTGCAAGGTAAAAAATGGGATTCCGCGCGGATGACATATTTCCAGAAGCTTTTATTCTTGTTGTTTGGGTGTGTGCCAACATCTTTCTAGAAGAAAGCTCATATTTCCAATGCTGCTCTGATTTGAATTTATTTCCAGGTCATTACCTTTTTTAAAAAATTAGAACGAATATGTGTATATACAGTATTTGAAAAAAGAAAAATAAAACAAAAAAGGGGGAAATCATATACAGCCTTTTAACATTATCAAAGATGCATATTTAAATCTGTCCCTGTCAAATTATAGATTCACAGGAAGTTGCCAAAATAGTACATAGAGCACCCTGCAGCCCCCACCTTCCCAAAGGTGACATTTGACACAGCGATCAGAGCCAGGGTGTGACACTGGCAAGCCAGCCTTCAGACTGTGTTGTTCTGGCTGTGCTGGACAGGTGCATGGACATGTATGCATGGACATGCATGTCTGGGCAGCTGTACCTCATGTGAAGTTCCATGTAGCTGAAGACCTGGAAACACATGTCCCTTGTGTTACCCACTCCTCCCTTGTCCTGTGCGTCCTTGTACGTCAACGCAGATCAGATCATCCCTGGGGACTTGCCACTGTGGGAGTTCTCTGTCACCCTGAGGCCCACCCAGTTGTGCTGAAGTCCATGTGTTGTCACTGCTGACTGGTGTCCTGCCCCATGAACCCACTGAGGGACACTTGTGTTGTTTCCACTATTTTGCTATTTTGCATATAGCTGCTATAAACACTCAAGTACGTGTATGTGGTGTGTATGGATGTAACTTTCCACTCTCTGGGATAAATAGCAGGGGTGCATTGCTGGGTCGTGGAGTAGTTTTACGAGAAATTGCTGCATGGCTCCCAGAGAGGCGGCACAACCCCACAGTCCCATGGGAGACCCAGTTTCTCAGCCTTTTCACCAGGATTTCATGTTGTTGCTACTTAAAACCCCCCATTGTTGCACTGTGTCTGCTGCAGCCTTCTCTCATGGTGTCCGTGTCAGAGACTCGAGCTTATTGGTACTGCACTTGGGCTGCATGTCCTGACTTTGGGGTCTTGATTCTTGCCCCTTGGGCACCCCAGTGTGGGTGTGGGCTCCAGGAATGTGCCCCAGGGGCAGAGTGGCCCTGCTGCCTTGCCCAGACCTGCAGAGGTTCCCTATGGAGGTCACCCACTCGCTTCACACGAGGGTCCCAGGCTGAGGGAGGAGAGAACCCGCGGGCACAGGCCATGGCTTGAAGCTTGGGCCCCTCTAGACTGTCCTTTGCCTATGGGGTGGCAGGGAAGGGAAGTCTGTAGGAGGCTCTGTGGCCTCATGGCTGGGGCAGGGCCACACAGCACCCTCACAGACCAGTGACCACTGATCACCCCCAACCAATCTGGGCACCCTAGGAGAATTGTGCTCACAATTCACAAAGATGATTTGAAAGAAACATCCCTTTCCCTAGGAGTCCTGGGTGCAGCAGCCCTGGAGGGCTGACGCTGAGAGGCTTGTCTGGAAGGAACTCCTGTCTTTCCATGTGTCTCTGGGAGGGCCCGCGCTGCCTGCTGGTGGATGGACTCAGCTGTCCAGTCTCCTGTCCTGTCCCAGGAGACTCTGTCGGCCCTGTGCTTGGACAGCTGAGGCTGGAGAATGGCTGGTTGGGGACTGCTTCACTTAGCCACCAAGACAGTGCTCATATCTTCAGGCAGGAGGTGTGGGGCCAGTGACGGGGGGGGGCTGTCGCCAGGAGTAGCCTTGGGTACCAGACACCACACCTCAAAGACACATTTTATTGTTTACTAAAACACTCAAGTCAAAAATAAATTCATAGTCCTAACAATTTCACTATTCTGAGTAGAACACACGCTGCAGGCAGAGTGCAGAGAGGGGCTGTCCACTGGGGTAGAGGCCATAGGGGAAAAGGCCCTGGCAGCCTCACGGGAGGGGAAGTTACCCCCGCCCCAGGAACAGTCATGGCTCCACCATGATGACCACAAGATGCACGCAGGGCAGGGCGGAGTTCTGGGGTGCGCCCAGCCACCTGGCTGCTCCCCAGGAAGCAGGTAGACTTGGGTGGGCCACGGGGTTCTTAGGGCAGAGCCACAGGCAGAGGGAAGCGTGGAGGTGCCAGGGCCATCAGGTGGGACCAGGCCCCAGGCCCCAGGCTACCCAATGGCTTGGTGCGGCAGCCCGTAGAGGACCAAGTTGAGGGCGGTGGGGAGCCGCTCTGGGCTTGGCAGAGGCAGCTGGATGATCGGCACCTTGTCCTTCGAGGTGTGAGGCACTGCGTCTGGGGAGAGTGGGATAGTGGCGGTAAGGCCCAAGCTGCCAGGCACAGATGTCCAGCCCACCAGGACGTCCAGCCTGACCAGGAGAGCTGAGGGGTAGGTGCAATGGTGCCAGGGTGCCATGAGTACCCCAAACAGAGGCGACTACCCTACTCACTCATTCATTCATTCATTCATTCACTTGCTCATCCATTCAGTCACACAATCACTCATTTACTCTTTCACTCACTCAGTCACTCACTCATTCATTCATTCACTCATTCACTCACTTCTTCATTCACTCATTCATTCATTCACCCACTCATTCACTTGCTCACTCACTCATTCACCCAGGCATTTACTCTCTCATTCACTCTTATTCACTACAGGAGCACTGAATTACATGGACACCACATCCCAGGCATTGTGGATCACATGACTTTTTAAATGTTAAACTCCTCTGGAGTCATGTATATTGAAGATTTCATAATTTTAAATCATCCTGGGATAAATCTTTCTTAGTTATGGTAGATTACTCCTCTAAAGGACTGCTAAATGCTATTACTTGGTGTTTTATTTACTATTTTTCACCAGCATCAATGTGTTAGATTTATCTGGACTTTCCTTTCTCCTCTGTTGCCACAATTTCCCATTAAGCTCTGTTTACTCTGAAAGGTGAGAGGGTGTGTTTGAGGACCAATTACATCCCGTGTCCCTGCCCAGGGCTCTCCCCTAAGAGGTTATGCAGTGGACGGCCCTGGGCATTGAAAGACGTCAGACAGGATGACATCCGGGGTGATCACGGTGGCTACAACAGGACCTGCCTGCCAGTGTGGGAATTCACTGTCCTGGAGCTTTCTTTTCTTGCCTAGGCATGGGCCTAGGGTGACCCAGCTGGCATACTGTGGCCTCCAGGCTGCCCAGCTCAGGTGGCCAACACTCACCAGTCCTTGCTCTGGGAAAAGGGGTTAGCACAGGTGTCACTGGGATTTTCCCATCTGTACCTTTGGAATTTGGCATTTGTATGACTTGTTTAAAGAGGAATTAGCAGTCCTAATGACTGGAGTGGTTTTCCCTGAGGGCTGGGGGGCCAGAGTTCCCTGTAGGCCCCTGTGTGTACCAGGCTGCACCTGCAGAGACTGTGTACAGGCAGGAGGCTCCTGGGCTGGAGCAAGCTCACCCCCTGTCTGGCTCTCATGCCTTAGAATCTGGTCTCCTCAGTAGAAATGGGGACACAAAGTGATGCCAAAAGAAAGCTGGCATTCTCTGCCCTACCTTGGCTAACTACTCCATGGCCTCCCATCTTCTGGAGGAGACGGACCACAGCCCCGATCGGCTTGCCCAAGGCTAACATATCTGGGGAAGAAACATCCCTTTAGACAGGTGTGGACACCCCGGCAGGCTGGGGGTGCCTGGCGCCCACTCACTCTCCCACAGGACGCTGGCTCGCAGGGCGTTGTCTTGCAGCGACGCTGGCCACTGGTTTGCTGTGATGCTCTTGACTCCTGCCAGGCTCAGGAGGATGGCAGTCTCAACGGGCACCTCCAAAGACAGCTGGGATGTGCTGTGAGGACCCAGCTCCTGTGGGCTGCATCCAGGACTGGCCGCACCTCCCCCAGCCCTTCCAGTCCACAGCCCTGACTTCATGGCCAGCTGGAATGCATGTTTGGACCAATGGCTTCACCATCAAATGCCATTTAATAAGACATGGCATCTCAGAGAGCTGCTGAATCCTGGGCACTCCCAGCCATGGGAGCAAGCAAGTGCTGGCCCAGCTCCTGCCCCTCTGCCCTCTGCCCTCCACCCAACCCCAGCAGGACCTAGCTCTGAGCTGCAGCCAAGCCAGGGGCTTCTGGAGCTGGAGCAGCCCCTCCACCCGCCCAACACAGCCCCTGCCCTGTGGGCTTTTCCTGGGACTCAGGGCAATAGTCCTTCCCCCAGCTTCCCCCAGCTTCCCCCAGCGGGAACAAGTCCCTCACTGGCAGGCCAATGCCCCTGGCACCTCTTGTCCTCTGAGCCATCCCTGTGCTGCCGTGTGCTTTCATAGGGCCATGTCAGGTCCAATAGGATCATCATGTGGCACTCTGCAGGACACGGAGAGGCCAGCTCAGCAGCTGTAGGGCCATGGGGGTGTCCTGGGCCTTGTGTACCTTGGCCAATTAGCTTGAGGCTCAAGCCACTTCCAGGGACCCACTAGCCACTGTGGACACATGACCTGACCAGCTGCAGGAGTCCTCACAGCATCCTCCACACCACAGTGTCAGGCAGCTGGGAGTGGCCAGAGACCCACTCAGACCTTCATGTATCTCCCCTACACAGCAGTGGGGTCTTGGCTCTATTATGCCTGGAAACTTCCAACACTACACATTGATGAGGTGTTTGAGATGCACCAGTGCCACAGAGGGTGGCCACGGAGGGAGGCCACGAATATGGCCCCCACCTGCTGCTGGAAGAGCTGCCACCTGCATGCTGTGATCAAGGTTGGAGTGCACAGGAATGCAGTCCTCCCTGGCCAGCTTTGCTGACCAAAACAGGAGCTGATGTTCTAAGGCAACGCTAGGTGTGATTGTCTGCCATGAGCACCCACAGATGCAGAGGGGACAGCTGTCCACTTCCCTCCATCTGCTGAGGTAAGGCTGTGGGTCTGTTTCCACAGACGTCTGGCTGTGCAGGGACAGGGCTAGTAGGATATAGCAAGGCCTCTGGCAAGGCCTCCATGCCTGCACATAGCCTTGGGAACTTAGGAATTTCCTCTGCTTCACTCACCATCATACTTGGAACTAAACTTCCAAAGGAGGCCTGTTTCTGGTTCTACCTGGGGCAAGGGGTCAGCTTCCAGGTACCTCTGCAGCCAAGGACCAGGAGATATTCTTATAGATGGGCTGGGTGTCTGCCCAGTGCTGGCCTCAGGCCAACAGGGGCTGGGAGGAGACCTGGGCTCCTGGGGAGAGTGCTGGGTGTGGGGACTGTAACCTCAGAGACAAGTGTCTACATGCTCACTGGGCTGCCACTGACGGGGCCCACATAACTCCAAAAGGACAGACATCCCCCATTGACCCTTGCAAAGGCCAGCAGGGTGGGCACCCTGGGTACACACCCACCCTGTGGGTCCGTAGTTGTGGGCACCAAGGCAGGAGGGCAGCCTTCCTACAGGCAGAACCACAGCTGCCAGCCCTTTTGCACATCTGAGTGACCTGTGCCTGAGGCCCCAGGCAGCCTGCGGTCTGCGACCATGCCCGCCTCTTGGGCACAGGAGTGTATGTGGGGGGGCATGTGCCCACACGCCCCGGGCTCGTGACAGTGGGTGGCCGGCGCCTGTTGCTGCTGCTCCTGCCATGTCGCCTCCTGCCAGAGCCCTGTCCTCAAGCTGGCTGGGCTGTGGCTGCCCAGGCCATGGCAGGGACACCTGGCAGCCCCCTCCTGTCAGTGGATGGTGGACAGGGAAGGCGTGTGATGAGCACCCACATTTAGACAAGAAGGGCTCTGCAAGGAGAGGCCATGTTTCTAGTATGTTCTAGAAAAGTCCTGGCGGGGTAACCTGGTCTGAATTGGGATCTCTGAAAGACAGAGGACCAGAGAGTCAGAAGCCCCATGGTTGCTACATCTGGGTGGGCCACAAGGGGTGCAGAACCAGGCAGGGGAAGTCCCTCCTCAGACTCAGGGTGCAGCCAGAGAGGCCCAGGCTGGGGGAGTGGGTGAGCTGTGACTTGCTGAAGAGTTACTAGGTGACAGTGCCCCTGCTCTGTGCTCTGTGCAACTCCCTTGTGCCCACAGGTCCTGTGGGGGGTGTGGGATATGGAGAGGCTGCAGGCCAGTGAGGGATGAGGGGGTGTGGAGAGGCCATAGCTCACCCTGTAGGTTCATGGCCACCAGTCTGTCCACTAGTAGATGGGACAGGAGGTTCTTTGCTCCGTAGAAGAAGAAGCCACTGCAGCTGGCCAAGGCCTGCTCCCACTGCCCCTGGCTGAAGAGTAGGGATGGCCCCAGAGGGCAAAGGGCACTGTCAGCCTGACTAGAAGTGTCAGGCCTGCACCTGCACAGCACGCTGGTCCTACCAGGGCCACCTTCACTCCCTCTTCTGCCTTAGCCAGTGTGTTGCTGTGTCCCTGGCGCCCACAGCAGGCCGTCCACCGTGTTCCATATACTAAGGCCACTATGGAGGCTGATATGTGTGCACTCATCCTGAGAATGCCCCCCTGTCCCAAACATACCCATCTCGCAGGTGGTGCTAGGTCTAAAAGGTGCTAGAATGGACCTTCCTTATGACCAAGTATGCTGAGGTCCTCATGGCACCCAGCAATCCAGACCAGGGTCCCCTCCCTCCATGCCTGTACCCCAACCCCTCTCCCTGCAGCCCAACCCTGCCCCTACCCTTCCCTGACCACACCTGTCCCCCCTGACAGCACCTATCCCTGTGTACCCTGCCCTGTGCCTGTGCACACCGAGGCACGGAGACATGAGTGGGTCCCTATGGCAAGGACAACCCTCCTCTACCCCCGTCACCTCTGGGCACATCTACACCAACCAGACTCTGGGGCTTCAGGGCTCAACGAAGCCCACCATCCCTGGCAGGTCCTGCTGCTGGACCTGGTGCCAGTGAGTGACCGGGCCCAGGCGCCTGTCTGTGCTGTGAGCAGCTGGGCACCTGCTCGCAGCTGGAGAGAGGGGCTGGCTGCATTCCTGGTGCCTGGAGACCTGCCCACTCTAGCACCGGCTCCTGAGAACCCGAATCCAAACCTGGGAAAGTAACTTCTTCCCAGATGTCCCACCCATCTCGAAGTGAATGTTTCTTGGAATCGTTCCAAAATCTCCCGGGTTACATAGACAGGAGTCAGCATTTCTGGGAGAAGAGAAGTAGAGACAGACCTTGGGACTGGGCTCACCCCCACTACCTCCAACAGGCAGGGGTAGTGGGCATGGTTGCCACTGCCCCTCCCTGTGGGCCACCATGAAACACTCAGAAAAATGAAAACCGGGAGGCAAATTAAAGTATCTGGTGCAGCAAGGGACAGGCACAGGTTCAGATCTCTGGGCCGGGGTGGGGGCATCAGGCATGGCTTGGGGTCATTTTCCCATGACTAGGTGGGCAGGAGGGACTTCTGGGGTCTATACCCACCTGGGCCCTGGACCTCCTCGGGGGGGTCCACCACAACTGCACTTCAGTTAAGGACAGACAGGGACACAGGGCAGCTCGGGGCCCCAGGGGCTGGCAAAGGATACACTTGAAGCCGTCTGCGTCCACGACGATGCAGTCCGGGGGGATGGTCCGGTTGGTGCTGCCCTGCAACAGCACAGGGTCACTGTGGCCACCTGCATCCCCGGGCCACACAGGGGCTGCCCCACCTACCTTCCGGCCCCTCCTGGTCAGGTTCCTCTGCTTGAAGTCCCTGCCCTTGGTCTCCTTCTTCCCTGTGCCGCCATCTGCCGAGGACAGAGACACAGTAGGGTGCTCAGCAGTGGGAGAAGCTCAGCTTGACTGTGTGAATGTGCTGAATGTTTTGCTTTAAGGTGGTTAACTTCAGGTTACATGAACCTGCCCTCAATAAAAAAATAAGCAGTGTGCGCAATTTAATTTTGTTGTTGTTGTTGTTGAGACAGAGTCTCACTATGTCACCTTGGTCATAGGTTGGCGTCAGAGATCACAGCAACCTCAAACTCTTGGACTTACGCAATTCTCTTGCCTCAGTCTCCCAAGTAGCTGGGACTACAGGCACCTGCCACAACGCCTAGCTATTTTTTGTTTCAGTTATCATTGTTGTTTAGCTGGCCTGGGTTGGGTTCAAAATCACCATCCTTGTTATATAGGGCTGGGGCTGCAACCACTGTGCTACAAGTACTGAGCCCACAATTTAATTTTTGTCAAGTTGAGATGGCAATAATTTCTCAAGCATAGAGAAATTGAGGGTTCTCAAGGAAGGACCAGTCCCCACAGGCTCCTAGGCCCCCCTGCTGCCCATCTACATGCTACACGGGGCACTCACCAGTGTGCCTACCAAGGGGCCTTCTGACCAGACTCACAGCCTGCCCCTTCCTACACAGAATTGTTGCTATGGCTTGTGGACTCCCTTGGAGGCTCTGTGTAGAGTGCCTGCCTGAATAAGGGTACTTCCTCCTTTCCTTTCCACCCTAATGCCTTTTTCCTTTCTGTATGGGACAGCCTCCATGAGACAGCGAGTGACGGTGTGAACGGGCTCTCTGCCTATCCCGGCTTCACAGGCTGCCTCCAAAAGTACCACAGAGGGGCCTGCTGCAGATCAGGACAGGCCCTTCACCAGGACGAGGTGGTCCACACTGTCCCCGCTCACTGAACGTTTGCACGCTTGTCACCCGACGCTTCTGCCACACATGGACTGAGGCACTCACACCTTCGCTCTCCTGTGGTCAGCTCCTCTGTGACAGCAACAGGGCTTTAAGGTCACTGGGTGTGAAAGGGTCCTTTTATTTCTTTCTTGTGGACCAGCAGAGGGTGGGGGAGGGGGGGTGTGAGACCTGCCTCCAGAAGGATGGGTGGAGACATCTTCTTCCCCTTCCCTGTTTTTTTTTTTTTTTTTTTTTGAGACAGAGCCTCAAGCTGTCCCCCTGGGTAGAGTGCCATGGCATTACAGCTCACAGCAACCTCCAACTCCTGGGCTCAAGCGAGTCTCCTGCCTCTACCTCCCAAGTAGCTGGGACCACAGGCGCCCGCCACAACGCCCGGCTATTTTTTGGTTGCAGCCGTCATTGTTGTTTTTGGCGGGTCCGGGCTGGGGATTCGAACCCGCCACCTTAGGTGTACGTGGCTGGCGCCTTAGCCGGTTGAGCTATAGGCGCCGAGCCCCCTTCCCTGTTCTTAAAGAAGGTAAGACTGACATGATCTATTTCTTGAAAGTTTGGTAGAATTCAATGAAAAAATTGTAAAGCTGATATATTCTTTGTGGGAAGAGTTAAATCTATTAATTTCCTTTTTATTGGTTGTAAGACTGTTTAGGTTTTCTTTCCTTCTTGAGTCTGAAAGTGTTTTTTCCCTAGCACTTTGCCCGTTTCCCCAGGGTTTTAAACATGTTGATGTAAAGTTGTTTAGAATATTCTATTATCTTCTAAAACTGGATGCATCTTCAGATGTGCCACTTTTTTATTCCAAATATTGCTTATCTGTGGCTCATTTTGTTTTATCATCATGACAAAAATGTGTCACTTTATTAATTTTTTTAAAGAAACACAGTTTTTGTCATGGGGGCCTCTGTGCATCACTGACGCCTTTTTGCTGCCCTCCTCCCGTGCACCGTTTCCTGCCCTTCGCTCTCTCTGGGATCATTCTGCTCTAACTTCTTACACTGGGTACTGAGCTTTCAAATGTCTAACCCTTTTCCTTTCCTAATATAAAGATTTAAAGCTGAAATATCCAATCAGTTCTGCTTCACAGCATCCACATCCCACTAGCTTTTTTTGTTGTTGTTTATTTGTTTAGACAGTCTCACTATGTCGCCCTGGGGTTGAGTGCCATGGAGTCAGCTCATAGCAACCTCAAACTCTTGGGCTTAAGAGATTCTCTTGCCTCAGCCTCCCAAGTAGCTGGGACTACAGATGTCCACCACAATGCCCAGCTATTTTTTGTTGCAGTTGTCATTGTTGTTTAGCTGGCCTGGGGCGGGTTCGAACCTGCCAGCCTCGGTATATGTGGCTGGCGCTGTAACCACTGTGCTACAGGCACTGAGCCCACATCCTGCTAGTTTTAGACATGTCTGTGATCATGTCACTTCTGTGTCCCATGAGATGTACACGTGTTGCAGTGTAGACAAACCGTCTCCTGGTAACTGGTTTCTACCCTGGTCACTGGCAGTCTGAAATGCAGCAGCACTGCCATTCTGCTATGTGACTGTCTCATGTGTGCTTGAAAAAACCGTGAATTTTCAGCCACAGAGTTCCCCTCTCTGGTTCTGCTCTTTTGGTCAATCTGACCCACCAGTCATCTGGCTGGGTCAAGCCGTAGAACCAGCACAGCTCTAGCCGGCCCTCGTGGCTTCTACATCTGAGTCCCGACAGTGCTGCTGGTTGCAGATTAGGCCCCTGGCAGTGTCACTCCTTGTCAGTTCCTTTGCTCTCCGGCCCATGGGCCACACCTTCTGTCTGGCTATGTTTCCTGGACATGGCTTGTGACCAGCAGCCTTGTGTCCAGTCTGCCTTTCTTAATTTGTGACAGCAAGGGAGCAACTTCTCCTGTCTTGCTTTTTGATTTGTGTCTGTCCTGTTTTTCTATGTGTGTTTCTCCATTATTCACTTTTCAACACCTTGGCTTGAGGTAACTGGTTCGTTTGTTTTCCTAAGGCATCTTTCCTACTTTGTGGGTCTGAGACCTGTGCCTGCGGATAGTGGCTGTGCCCAGTGCTTTTCCACAGCTGTTTCCAGCCCAGACTCAGCAGCTCGAGGGTCTGAGAACGCTCCCGCACTGCGGACCTGCAGAACCCTTCCATTGTGGCCATGCAGTGATGCATTTAAAAAGACTTGTCACGGTTACCTGGCATTTTGGTTGCATTGTGGTGAGGGTTTGTATTTGTTTTTTGCTGCTATTAATAAATCAACACAAATACAGGGCCTTCATATGACATGAATCTTCCACCTTGCAGTTCTGGGGGTCAGGCGTCAAAATGGGGCCACAAAATGAAGGAGTTGGTGGAGCCGGCTCTCCTGAGAACTCAGGGAGGCCCCGCCCAGCACCTCGCCCGCCACCCAAGCCCCCACTCCCCATCTTCAGGTGGGCAGCGTGGCCTCCCAGGCTCCAGCCACCTTCCTGCTGCCCTTGTGTCAGGGCATTAGCATCACAAGGGGCCACCCAGATAATCGAGGATGATCTCCCCATCTCAAGGCCCTAATCATGTCTGCAAAGTCCCTTTTGCCATGCAGGGTCCCGAGGGTGGCGCTGTCCTCCCACCCACACTGCTGTGTGGGGTTCCTCGTCTGATGCAACTGCACTCTTTTGTCCCAACACTTAATAAGGGAAGCATGACAGATAGATACCCACGTAGAAAAAGGGATCATAAACTCTATGGCATGCCACGCACAAAACTCAGTTTCAGATGGTTAGATAAAAACGTGAAAGGCAAAAAAAAAAGATGTACTTAGAATATTCATAAGAAGATATCTTCATGATCTTGAGGTAAGAGAAGGTTAAAAAAAAAAAAGACCTGAAAAAAAAAAAAAAGACGAACCCAGAGCTGGCATCACACTCAGCAGAGCAGCCCATAAAGCTCTTCGTCTAAGGTCAGGAGTGAAGCAAGGTGCCTGCTCCCACCACTCGCACTCAGCACATCCTTCGCCAGAGCAGGCAGGCAAGAAAAAGAAATGAAAATCATCCAGATTGGAAAGGACGGTTAAATGGGTTAAATAGTCTCTGTGAGCAGATAACATGCCCTTATATATAGAAAACCTTGAAGACCCCATCAAAAATCTGCAGTAACTAATAAACAAATTCAGTAAAGTTGCAGGGTACAAAATTGACAAGACACAAACCAGTAGCGTTTCTATACAGCACTAATGAACACCTGAAACAGAAATTAAGAAAACAATCCTATATATAATAGCATCAGAAAGAATAAAACACTTAGAAATAAATTTAACCAATGAGGTAAAAGATGTGTACTTTGGAAACTATAAGACATTGATGAAAGAATTGAACACACAAATGGGAAGATGCCCTGTGTTCATGGATTGGACGAATCAATTTTCATTCAACCAGCTGACATTTACCTCGTAATTGGAGATTTTAGACCATTCACACTTGGTGTAACTATTAATAAGGTATACTTCCACTCGCTACCTCTCAGCTTCTGTGCAGTTGTACACGGATTACAATATATAGTATTATTTTCTTTTGCACTAAACTTTTTGTTCAAAAAATACTTTAGGGTGGCACCTGTGGTTCAGTGGGTAGGGCGCCAGTCCCATATACCGAGGGTGGGTTTGAACCTGGCCTCAGCCAAATTGCAACAAAAACATAGCCGGGCATTGTGGCAGGTGCCTGTAGTCCCAGATACTCAAGAGGCTGAGGCAAGAGAATAGAATTGCCTAAGCCCAGGAGTTGGAGGTTGCTGTGAGCTGTGCGAGCCCACGGCACTCTACCAAGGGCCATAAAGTGAGACTGTCTCTACCGAAAAAAAAAATTTAATGAGTTTTAAATTTTTACCCACATTTTTACCATTTCCAGTGTTGTTTATTTCTTCCTCTGCCCTTGAGTAGTTTCCTCACACACAAGCGTTGATTGGTTCTTAGTGGAAGACTTGAGCAGGATGCCCTGCAGATCTCAGGAGCTCCCCTCTCTGCAGCCCCCTCTGCCCTAGAATCCTCTCCTGGTCCCCCCAGCCCCGGCCCCACATACTCAGCCCACGAAGCTCCCTGGGCTCTCCCTGGCCACCCTGCCCTGCTGCGGAAACTCTCCAGGAAGGAGCTGGGGCACCACCTGTCTCCTCTCTCAGGACCCACTGTCTGCACTGCCAACATCCAGTGTTCGAAAACTCTTGCTTCATGTAGTTCATCTTGTCTTTAGTTGTTTCAGTTGGAAGGGCAGATTTCATCCTTGTTCTTTCATCTTACATGGAAGCAAAAATCCAACCTACTTGTTTTTCATTTAATTAGGTTTTCATCAAAGTGTGTCCCATACACAGAAGGCTGCATGCATTGCAAGGGTGCAGCGTGGAAACTCTGCACAGACTGGGTGTACCTGTGTGGCCAGCACCAGGAGGAGGCCTTCCCAGCACCTGGCCTGAGTTAGGCCCCTCCTGTCCTCTCCTTCGCAGCTGCTCATCATCTAATCAGGGAGTTGTTCACAGCTGCTTTGGTTCCCTCCTGTGCAACAAGGGTTATAGGCACAGGAGGAACATCAGGTCCTTCACTGGACATTGAGCCCCTGACAGAACACAGCACATACCAGGTACTTTCCAAATATCTTTTTAAAAGCCCCTAGAAAAATGTTGCAACATTTGATAATTATTTGTTATAGAAGTTACCATTCCTGTATCTGAAAAGTAATTTAAATGTTTCCGTTTTAAAATTAAACATGAATGTGGTTGAGGGCAGTTCCTACCCGATTCTTCTTTATGGAGGCGATTGTACAACATCTGGAGAGAAAATTCTCGTGACACAGAGGAAACTGTCGCTTCATCCAGCACAGACAGACCTTCTAGTGGCAACTGCAGAAAGGGCCTGTCTGCAATCAGGATCATCTTATCCGCAGCCTCAGCGTGAGCTGTGGACGGGCAATGAAATGGCTCAGGAGGTCCACCCTGAGGATGTGCTTCACAGCCCGAGCAGCGTCAGTGCCGAGTTCTGACAGTGTTGCGGGGACGCTTGGCTTGGCCCCGGCAACCATGGCTGGGAGACGTGGGAGAACATCTGACCTCAGCACAGCCTTCTAAGAGCTGGGGTCCCTGGGGACCCTTGGGAACCCTCAGGATGGACACCAGTTTGGACGGCATGGCTGAGCTCACGGCTCAGGCCTAGAGGGACCCACACTGAAGGGGCACTAAGTTTGTCAACCCAAGGCAGCAGATGGCAAAAGTGGAACCCTGGAGGTACTGGACACTTCTTTCTGGTTGTGGGGATTTGGGTCACACTATTAGCACAGCCTAAGCCTGTTTCCCAAGCCCAGTGAGGAAGGCTGTGGTCTGCACGGAGGCTGGAGCAAGACCTCTATAAAGCAGCTCCTTGAGGAGCTCCTGGAGATGGAGCTCCCAGGGTGGCCCACAGTAGCCATCCATGTCTGTAAAGAGAAGCCAGGAGGCCAGGGGGTGGAAGGCCTCTCCCTCCACTCTGTTCTCATGCTCAGCTCTCACACAGATTCCCATGATGACGAGAGGGCAGCCTGCCAGGCTCCAGGGGCCCTCAGGGAGGTTTTGCAAGAGGCCAGAGCGCTGGTCAATGGCTGTGCACAGAATCTCCTAGGTGTCCAGCCACAGGGAATGCTCAGCAGGGGGGTCTGTGGGTCCTGGTGTCCAGGGCACAAGACCCCCAGTCTCTGACACCCTCGGCATGCTGGGTAGGTGAGGAATCCCAGCCCAGCTTCTTCCTATGCAATAAGCTCAGAGACCAAGGGAACAGCGGCTTGAGGCCTTGGCCCCATGGCCACTTACTTTGTCCTAAAGATAATTTCTTGTCCTTGTCTTTGCCTTTTGCTTTCCCAGAATCTGCAACAACAGTGGGTATCTGTGTTCTGAAAGTCAAAGGTATGTAATAAGGTTTCAAAACACAGGTAAGAGTAACACAGACCAAGAACATAAAACATGTCCACTCAGCCTGTTCACAGCAAAGTGGCAAGTGCCACGAGCCACTCCACAGGCTCCCTTTGGGGGACCAGCCTCGCTGAGATGGGGCTGGGATAATGTCCCACAAGTTGGAACAGAGCAGAGTTTCATCCTTATCTGCCTATGGGGCAGTGCCCACCCGCTCTGCTCCTCCTCTGCACCCCCCAGGGGAGGGGACACAGCACCAGTACTTCTCCTGGGGTCAGGGGCACCCAGCATCCAGAATGGAAGACACTTTGCACTTGCCTATTTTAGAGGGAGCACACCCAGTGGTGGCCCAGCCTCAGGGACACATGAGTCCACACATGAGCAGTGTGAGAGGGAGACAGCACAAGGCCTTTCACCTCTCCATCGGCCAATCACTTGGCTCCTCCAGACTCAAAAGAGTTCTGGGGGGTCAAGCTGCCTTCCAGGCCCACCCCACCCCCAAAGCTACATGGGCCCCATGGTGCCTCTTCCTGCCCCTCCAGCAGCCTCTGCCTGACTGGGCCCTCCCTGTAGGGACTTGCAGAGCAGGGACCTGGCGCCCATCTTCCTACCCCTCTGCAGTAGCCCCTAGGGGCTTAGCCCAACCAAGGCAGCCCCCTACTCCACTGCAGCCAGCACCCGTCTGAGGGATACTGCCTGTCACCCCGGGTCTGTCCAGAAACTGGTCAGTCCCTTAGAGCATTCTGAGAAGCCCGATTCTGCGGATGGTACCTGTCTTCAGTATAGCTGAACAGCGGGAAGAGTGGCTTCAGATAGGCCTCCATGGGCTGCAGGACATGGCCCAGCCCATGTAGGCCAGGTGCTTTGTTCCTCACCTGCACATCCTCTGGCTCCTATCTCAATGGAGATAAACCTGTGCTCTAGGGAGCTCCCAAGGGGACCCCATAAACCCCAGCCCCATTTAGAGCAAAGGAGGGCTGCAGCCTGCCCCTGCCAGGAGCATGTGTAGCCAGCACTCCCTGCACCTGGCTGAGCCTCCAACCACACCTGCCCACTTGCCTCCAGTTTCCTCTGCCTGCAGCAGGGAGGGTCCTGCCTGCCAGGACCAGGCTCTGGGCATTGGGTTGCACTCACATAGGATACAATGTGGGGAGCTTGCTCCATGCTGCATGGAGTTACCCCAGGCCAGGAGCACCAGGGTATGAGACAGCGGTGCCCCACAGCCCTGCCCCCACCCCACGTCACTGAAGCCCAGCTAGGATCCTGGCTCTCTGAGGGTCTGGGAGGCCTCACCACGTCTGGGTCCTGGGCCGTGTCCTCTGCGTATACCTCAACCTGGGGGTGCTCTTGGAACTGGTGGGCACAGGCCAACAGGTGTGAGAAGTCAGCAGGGTTCACAGCCAGCCGCATCACCTTGCAGAGACCTGGGGGGACAGAGATACACCCTTTACCCCCACCCTGGGCTCTCAGCACAGCTAGGGCAGACTGAGGGTGAGTCGTGGGCAAAGGGCCCTCCCTGGAGCAAAGGCTGCCAGTGCTCTGCAGGGACCAGCCCCATCAGGGAAGAACCAACAGTCATCAGGGATGGATGTAGCCTGGGACACTCGTCTCCCTGCCCTGCTCCCCATTGTCATGGGCTCAGCCAACCTCTCCATCTCTGTGGGTGGGGGCTGGGCAGGGCCGTGCCCCATGAGACCTGGGCTCCCAGGTTGGGCTGAGTGAAAGGTCTGAGCTGCAGGAAGCCCCACCTGTGCCCCCACGTGTGGTGGAGTTAGACCCTGCTTCTACCAGACAGGCAGCCCCAGCCCCACCCACCACTCACAAACAGAAACTCACCCCCCACTGACAGCACCTTTCCTTTGCTGGCAGAAAAGGACTTGGGTTTCTCATAGACAGCGCAATACAGCCGGGACCTGCTGGCAGCACATAGCAGGATGAGAGGGGAGTCCCCAGGGAGCCACTACAGCCTGGCTCCAGGGATCTCAGAAAAGCTCCATGAGGCCCAGTGAGGCTGAGCCCGTAAGGCACACAGCCCCAGGTGGGAACCCCCAAAGCACGCACTCAGTAGGTGAGGCTGAGCCACGTTGCAGCCAACTGGCTGTACCCTCACACTGGAGGCCAAGAACTCAGTCCAGCCTCTGTTTCACTATCCACGGCCCCTCTGGAGATGGGTCACAGTGGTGGCCCCTGCCCCAGTCATATCAGCTTAGCCATCTCAGAAGGAACAGGACCCCAGTATCCCTAGGCCTCTGCCCCCTGGGTCAGCTGGGAATGCCATGTCTGTCCAGCACCCTTCTCAGGGACAACCAGAGCATCTGTAGCATCCTGAGACCACCTGGGGGGTGAGGTCTACGTCTCCCCTCAAGGCTTAGCAGGTTGGGGCAGCCTCAGTAACACAAGCGCAAAGAGTCCACCTGTCTCGTGAGTGGTGCAGGAAGAGGATCCGAAACATAGGTGGGATCTCATTCAGCAGGTTGAAATGTTGCTCCGTGACGCACAGATTCTGCCAAGCCTGTGTTGTGATAAACAGGAGCCCATGAGGCCTCAGGATGCAGGGATGTCATTGCACTATCTCCACCACTTCTGAAAGATGTCACAGCAGAGGTTCTGCACAGTGGCCCGGTGGGGCTGCTGTCCCTCTGCCCCAGCTGGGGACACCCCAGTCCAGGGCTGTGTGACTGCCACAGGAGCAGCAGAAGGTGAAGTTGGTGGCTTGCTTGGACTTGGCATCCTCTCTAGTTCTCAGTGGGCAGAAGCCCCCTTTGCAAGACACAAAGTGCACAGGCACCAAAAGCAAAATGACTTGGGGGAAAGTGTCCCAGCTCTTCCCTCCATCCTCCGTCTTCACACAACACACGTGGACACACATGGACAGACACAGGTTCATGCAGACAGGTACAGACACACACACGTGTAGACGCATAGACGCAGAGGCACACACGCAGACACGCACAGACACACACAGACACAGGTAGACACACACATGTGCAGACACATAGACACAGAGGCACACACGCACAGACACACATAGACACACACATGTGCAGATGCATAGACACAGAGGCACACACGCACAGACACGCATAGACACACACAGACACACATAGACACACACGTGTGCAGACACATAGACACAGAGGCACACACGCACAGACACACATAGACACACATATGTGCAGACGCATAGACACACACGTGTGCAGACACAGACACAGAGGCACACACACAGACACGCACAGACACACATAGACACACACGTGTGCAGACACAGACACAGAGGCACACATGCACAGACACGCACAGACATGCACAGACACACATGGGCAGATGCATAGACACAGAGGCACACACGCACAGACACGCACAGACACAGACAGGTGCAGACACAGAGGAACACACGCACAGACACACATAGACACACACGTGTAGACACATAGACACAGAGGCACACATGCACAGACACGCACAGACACACACATGTGCAGACACATAGACACAGAGGCACACACGCACAGACACACAGACACACACACATGCAGACGCATAGACACAGAGGCACACATGCACAGACACGCATGTGTGCAGGTGCACAGACACACAGAGACACACATGTGCAGACACGCACAGACATGCACAGACACACACGTGCAGATGCATAGACACAGAGGCACACACGCACAGACACGCACGTGTGCAGATGCACAGACACACAGAGGCACACATGCACAGACACGCATGTGTGCAGATGCACAGACACACAGACACACATGTGCAGACATGCACAGACATGCACAGACACACACGTGCAGATGCACAGACACAGAGGCACAGACGCACAGACACGCACAGACACACACATGTGCAGACACAGACACAGAGGCACACATGCACAGACACGCACGTGTGCAGATGCACAGACACACAGAGACACACATGTGCAGACAGACAGACATGTGCAGACAGACACAGACACACAGAGACATGCACATGTGCAGACACACAGACACACACACGTGCAGACACACAGAGACACACATGTGCAGACACACAGACATGTGCAGACAGGCACAGACACACACAGACACGCACACGTGCAGACACACAGACAAACAACACCACACCCTCACCCCAGGCCTGGGGAGCTTGGCACAGTCCAGCAGGCTGCCCTGGGCCCAGGCTCCTGGCTATCTTCCCATGCCAGGCATGGTGCCAGGGCTGCAATACAGTTTGGGCTCACCGCCCGCAGTGCAGGTGAACCCAAGGATCTCCCAGCCAGTTGTGAATGTTCACAGATGGAGTCAGGATTTTGAGATTGGAAAAATAAAATAGTTCTTAGAAAACCTTTTGTCGAAGTAGAACATACCAAGAGACAGTGGTGTAACCAAGTGTGAAAAGTGCGATAGTTTTCACAGGGGACAGAAAATGCTGCAGACTGCCCCATGCAAGCCGACTTCCAGCAGCTTCAGCTGGAGTTTCTGTCTGGCATCTGCTTCTCTATCCAGGCTGCTACATGTGGGGCTGACCCTCCTCCCTTTGCTATGAAGCATCTCACTACATGAACATGCCCCTACCTCATAATCCATCCTGTGGCCAGTGACATCTGGTGGCTTCCTGTTTGAGGCTATGCACTGAACATGCAAACACATGCTCCTTGCGGACCATGGGGAGCCCTTTCCCTGGGCACAGAGCCAGGTGTGGCCTTGCTGGGGTGGCTTCACCAGATTCTGCCTGGTGCTCCCAGTGGGACTGTGGACTTGGGGGGGTCTGAGGCTTCAGGCGCCCACCATCTCAACTCAAGGACCCATGTTCCCTTTGCCATCTTGGCCTTGCTAACAGGTGTCTAGCAGTATCTGAAAGTGGTTTTAATTTTTGCATTTCTCTGATTGCCATGAACTTAAACACCATTACAAATGTTTATTTTCTGTTTGAATATCTTCTTTGGTGACATTCCAACCTTGCACCCATCTTCTTATTGGAAAGCGACCCTGCTTTGTATGTTCAGGACACAGAAGCGCTCCGCCGTGTCCACTAGGACATCCTCTCCTGCTCTGGGGCTTGGCTGGTTAGACTCTTGGAGGCCAGGGCTGCCCACTAAAATGAGTTCAGGCTCACTCTCTGCCTCTCCCTCTCATGGTGAGTACCTCCTGCCTCCTGAGTTCAGGCTGGGAGGGGCTCCCCAGAGGGACACACCCCATGGGTCACCAGTCAGTGCTCACAATGCAGCATCACTCAGGTCATCTTTGCAGAAGCAGTGCTGTGACCACTCAGGGCATCAGAGCTGGGACACCAAGAAGAGAAGGGCGCCTGCAGGATGATGTGGACGCTGCCCATGCTGGCCTGCAGGCTCAGGCCTGGCTCCATGGGCTGAGCTCAGCTCCTCCCTCATCTCCTCAGGAGCTCTGTGGGCTTCAGGGTGCTGGTTTTACACATCTTTTGATAGATTTTCCCATAGTTTTTGATGCTACTGAAAATAGTATTGTTAAAAAAGTTTTCATTTTCCGCTGTTTGTAGCTGGCATGCAGTGTTTGTAGATCAACCTTTCAGGCTCTAACAGTGACCATGTTAGCTGTGTGAGTTGATTCCAGGGTCACCCCACAGATTGTCCTTACTGGACTCTGGCTGGACCGGGACCTGCAGAGTCTTCGACTTCACAGGTGCCTGATGGTGCTGGCCCAGCCCTCATATTGTCCTTTTCTAATCTCACTGCCCTGCAGTGAGCACAGAGCCCACATCAGCTCTATTCTCAGAGAGAACCTGCTTTGAAAACATTCTTCATTAGATTAAGGAAATTCCCTTCTATCTTATTTTTTTCAATCATAAATTAAGGTATTGAATTTTGAGAAGTACTTTTTTGGCAATATCAAGATTTTATAGTTTCTCCTCTTCCTCTGTTAATATGGTGAATTATATTGAATGATTTGTGAACATTAAGCCACAGGGAACATTCCTGTGTGCTCCTGATGGATTATCCCTTTCATAATTGCTGGGTTTTATTTACAGACATTTTGTTAAGAATCCCTGTGTTTGCATTGATGGGAGATACCCTCCTTTCTTGTAACACCCTTGCTAAATTTCAAGGTCAAGGTCCAGCTGGCCCCTAATTGGGAGTCAAGAGGTGCCTCTATCTTGCTCACAAGCACAGTTTAAAAGGCTGTCTCCTCCCTCCAATGCTTGATATAATTACTGGTGAGGCAAGTTGTATCTGAGTATCTTTTGTAGGAATGCTTTCAATAAAAGATTCCATTTCTTTGATACTGAATTTTTCAGATTTTCTATTCTTCTGTTGAGTTGTATTTTTTTGAAGAATTTGTCCATTTCATTCAAATTCAAACGTATGAAGTAAAGTTGTAAATATTCCCTAATTAGCCTTTTGATGTCTGTAGGATCTCACTGATGTGTCTCTTTACTATTGATATGGAGATTTGTGTTGGGGGGAGTTTCCTTTAGCAAATCTAAGCATTTATTGATTTTGTTAGTCTTCTCTTTGGAACCAGTTTTGCCTTTGATTTCCTCTGCTATTGATTTATTTTAACTTCATTGTAGATGTTATATTTATTTGTTCCCTTCCATTTTTCTCAGCTGTGATTAGTTGTTGTAAATCAAAGCTTAAATCAAGGTTTCTCTGCCTTTTTGTGTTTAAGGCTGTATGTTTCCTCCATGCCCTGTTTTAGACAAGTCTCCCAAGTTCTGATGTGCAATATTTTCATTCTCTAAGTCAGTTTAAAGTAGTTCCTAAATTCCACTGTGATTTCTCCTTTGACCAATTTGATGATTACATTGCTTCATTTCCAGGCAACTGTGTTTTTCACAGACATCTTTTTGTTGGTGGTTTGTAGTTTAATTTCGCTGTGATTAGAAAACCGTCTCCATCCTTGGGGCTCATTGAGGCTTGCCGTGGCCCTGCACGGGTCAGTTTTGGTCGGTGCTGCCCACACTGAGCAGCCTGGCCGGGCCTTGTTGGTGCACGTTGGTCAGGCAGATGAGGCTGCCAGCCGACCCCCACCTCCACCCTGCGCTGGCTGGCTTCCATCTCCTTGAAGCATCAGCGATTGAGTGAGGTCACACTCACCCCTAGGACCTGGGTCTGTCTGCTGCTCCTCTTCCATTTCTGTCAATAATGTTTTATATGTTTGAAGGTTTCCTGTGGGTGGGGCTGGCCTGTGGCCCCCTGCTGGGTTGACCACTCTGTTATTACAAAATGTCACTGCATTTCTTGTGACACGGTCTGCTGGAACACCTGCTGGCCTTCACCTGATTAATTAAAATTAATGTTCATGGTTTATGTGTTGTTTTCTCACATTCCACTTTCAACATCCCTGTATTCCTACATGTAAAGTGCACCTTTTTAAAAATCATACAATTTTTTAACTTCAATCTGGCAGTCTTTGACCTTGGGAATTTGGTCCATTTATACTTACTGTAATTATAATGTATTTGAACGTATACCTACTATTTTGCTATTATTTTTATAATCATACTGGAGCCATCTATTTTTATTTTCCAGTTTTTTTT